CCCAAGTTTCCTGCATGAAAAGTAAGAATTCTAGAATTCCACCACTGAGCTACAATTGCCTCCAGAGAGAATGGGGACACATCTAAAGAAACAGGGGTCTTCTTGCTGAGAGCTGGGGCTTTAGATGATTTAGTAAACTTGAATATTTTTCTGATTGTGAAATTCTGTTTCTCCAATGTTGACATTCTTGGCCCTTTTCTGGTAATGTAAGTGGTTGTTTCTAAAATTAATGTACTGAGTGTTAGTTCAACTAATGGAAGGAGTGTTTCCTAGTTTTCACTCTTCACTTGCTGTAGATCCCTAGAGCATATTCCATGTGCCAGTGGCTTTCACATGCAAAATTGGAATGTTGTTATGCATAAAGAAAGTTAAAGCACACCCAAAGATGTTGCTATTGCTGCAGGATTCTCCACATTAGGGAAGGGAAGGAGATGACAATCAGGAATTAGAACACAGTTCAGATCTGCCCCTTTATCAACTGCTGCTGTGATGAATGGGGCAGATATCATCAAATGGCATCAAAGGCCAGATCGCCTCATCCCATCAGATGGAAAAAGCCTGAGTTCCTTTTCTTTCTTTCCTTTTTTTAATTATAATCTGGGTGAAATTTTACAGAGCAAATTAGTTTTCCATTCAACAATTTCTGTACATTTTGTTTCCTGACATTGTTTGCAATCATATAGATAGATGTAACAGGACCCTTCCCCCTGTCTTCCTGGGTTCTCTGTTTCCATTCATCCTCCATTCCTTTTGAGCTTTGTTTTGGGCCAAATGCTGCCCCTTTGGTCTCATATGGTTGATTGTACTGAGAAGAACACTCCTCCTTGGTTTTATTATTGACTTTATAGACCTGTCTATTGTTTGATGGAAAGTTGATCCCAGATACGGGTTCAGTTCCAGGCTTGCAGGGTATCTCAGGCCCACAGTCTTGGGGGTTCCACCAGTCTCTATCAGACTGGTAAGTCTGGTCTTTTTTACATTTTTGAATTTTGTTCTACTTTTCTTTTTTCTCTCTCTATTGAGGACATTCTGTTATGGTCCTGATCAGAGCATTTGGTAGTGGTAGGTAGGCACCATCTAGTTCTTCTGGTCTCTGAGTAGTGGAAGTTGTGGTCCATGTGGTCCGTCAGTCCTTTGGACTAATTGTTTCCTTGAGTCTTTGACTTTCTTCACTCTTCTTCATTCCAGATGAGGAGAGACCAATAGTTGCATCTTAGATGGCCACTCCAAGCTTCTAAGACCCCAGTCATTACTCACCAAAGTAGGATACAGAGCACTGTCATCGTGTGCTTTGTTATGCCAATTGACCTGGATGCTCCCTGAGACTGTAGTACTAAATCCCCAAGCCCAGTGAGTCATTCCTTCAGATTGTTTGGTTATAGCTAAGAAGTTTTTAGAACATTCCCCCCTGCTCTACAATACCCTTGGATGTATTTACAGCATGTACCAATACTTATGTGGAAATAGCCTCTGCCAAACGTGTGTGCAATGTGTGTGTGTGTGTGTGTGTACATGTACTCATTCACCTTCTCATATCTGTTCAGCTTGCATGTCTACCTGTGTATCTACTTGTATTTGTTGTGTATTGTTACTATAATTACAGGATTGGGTAGATAATAGTATTGACCTTTGTAAAGGTAAATTCTAATACCATGTGACCTCAGTGACTGCCTTTCCTTTCATCTCCATTAATACGTATCTACTCTCTAATTAGTGATTTATTCACCTTTACCCTCTCATCCCTGATAACCATCAATGAATGTTTCTTTCTGTACATAAACATTTTCTTAATTTTTCTTAACTAGTGGTCTCATACAATATTTATCCTTTTGTGATTGACTTACTTTACTCATCATATAATGTCCTCTAGATTCATTTGTGTTATGAGCTATTTCACAGATTCTTCATTATTCTTTAATGTTGCATAGTATGTACCACAGGTTGTTTATCTATTCATCCGTTGATGGGCACTTAGGTTGTTTCTGTCTCTTTGCTATTATGAATAATGCTGTCATGAACGTAGGTGTGCATATGTCTGTTTGTGTCATGGAAGCCTGAGTTTGTATTCTCTTCAAGGTCATGTAGGGAATCTAGGTCAGCCCTGTCATTGCAGACTACAGTTTTCCCTTATAAGGATCCAAAAGGAAAAAACAATGCTAATAAATTCTATTACTCTTTAACACAACTCTGTGTGAGGTGAAGATATGAAATCTGTAGTCTTTGCCATTTGCTTTGAAACATGTGACACTAGAAAAGTAGTGAAATAGAGACATTATCATTGCTGAAGTTTTCTAACTGAAGCACCCTTCCTTGGGTCATGCACAGGGGAGGGAAGGATCTTCCATGGAGAGATGACTTTGGACACTCACCATAGTTTGTCAGTTGCATATGCTAATAGAACCAGGCTTGGGGACTTGAAGGGGAAAATGGAATATGAAAGCAAAATGAAAGAGGACTTTGAGGCAAGCATGTCATCTCTAAATGAAGGTTTCATGCAAAGGAATTGAGTCTCTTCACAGCTGAAAATGGAATCTTTAAATAAGATAAAATAAAAGGCTTGTTGCAGGTTCTATAATGAAATACAGTTTTCCTAATACCCTGTGACCTGCATTTCTCCCTGGTTTATGGGTGCTATTCCTTAACGTACAAACCCGTATTTTCTCAAGTCAGCATTTGATGATGGATGTCAAAATACAGGCCATGTATTATGCATATAGCATTACCGTTTTAAGGTGTTTACTTGTCAAGTTGAAGAAATTCAAAACGTCACATCCATTGAATCTGCACAGCTGTCACTTGCAGTTTTTCATGCCTTTGAATGAAACTTCTGATGAAAACAGTTTAGTTTTCCCCTTCACTATTCTAGGGAAAGAGAACAGCTAGCATTTTAAATGCATATTCTTGGTTAGGTAGTTGGCTGAAAAAATGCACATTCTAAAGTTTAGAAACATGGACACAACACTGTCATTCAAAATGACTTACCCTGTTCACAGTCTATTAATGTAAAAATAAAACTAAACGCAATCAGGGCAAAACTATTAAATGAAACTTCTTTCTTTCTTGAAGTATGGCACTCAATGAATGCTCTGAAATTTATACAGAGAAGAGCAGAAAATAAGAAAACATTCATATTTTTCTGGCATTTCATACAGTATGCACCTGCAAAACAATGGGCAATTATTGAGCACCTGTCATTTCGTTCTTGCTAGATAAAGCTTGACACTAGCCAGATTTAACCCAATCTTGTCACATCACTGGAGAATGAGTCAGGAATCTAGTCATATTATTTATTTGGAGTTTTGTCCTAGGAAACTTAGCAAGTGGCTTTGTACCCATAAGTCCCTAATACATTGATAAACTCATGTGGCAATTCATAAAGAATAAAGAGAGAAACCGCAGCGAATGTGGACAGCTGCCTGGCTATCTTTGGAGGTGTGGGGAGCACATGGATGGGCCTTTGCAGTCAGCATTGAGCTGATGGTACCATTTGCCATATGCTTCACTTGATGAAATTAACCAAATGAATGTAAGAGGTAAATAATTTTTGATATATGTATATAGGTCAGTACTTTTTAAAGGCTTTCTATGTCTCTAGGCACATTCTTAAAGAGGTAGTCAGCCAGCCTCACTGAGATCATTCTAAACTTTAACCAAACTTGAAGTTGTGGTTGGGTCAAGCTAATGCTGATGTGTACTTAGGACTTGGGCCTGAGACCCAGAGAAGCCCAAACTGCCAGATAAGAAACCAACTGTACTACTTCCCAATATTTCTGTCTTCACACCTTGCTTATGAGACCTGTTTTGGGCTCATTGGGAGTTCAAAATATACAGACACACATATACAAGTCTGACTCAAGTGGCTACCAACCAAAAGGCTGGCAGTTTGACAGTTTGAACTCACCCAAAATCTCTGTGGAAGAAGAGGTCTAGCAATGTGCTTCTATAAACATTACAGCCATGAAAACCCTATGGAGAGGTTCTGCTCTGTAACACATAGAGTCACCATGAGGCAAGGCCAACTCAATGACAGCTAATGACAACATATATCGATGTAAGGTGGTTCCAGTGCTGGCTACTTCAAGAACTTGAGGAAAGCTTTTTCTGTGGTTCAGATTAGCCAGTATCATTAAGTTAGCTTTTCTTCAGTTGATGCCTATCCTAGTTGCAAAAGGGCTCCACAGTTCCAGGCACTAAAGGCACGTAAAGCAATGTCCAGTGAATTAAAAACAAATCTCTTCATATGTGTTTCTTTCTAAGATCAAGGAAACTTTTCCTGAAAGCCCTCCACCCCAGCAGATTTCCTCTCACCATTGGCCAGAGATGTGTCAGAAACCTGGATCTAAGTCACTCACTGGCAAAAGGATAAACAATTAATTGGTTTAAAGTAACAGTCAGGATGGGCTAGGTTTTGCTGTGGTAACAAAAATCCCCCAAATCTCAGTGGCTTAAAGCAACATAGATTTATTTTTTTCACACTCATAGTGCTTAGTGGGTCTGGTTCCCTGTCCAGGGTTGTTGCTCTGCTTTCATCTCCATAGAAACCTGTGTTTCCATTGTTATCAGGCCTGAGAAGAAAGAGGTGGCAAAGCAAGCACAAGACATTAAACACTTGTACCAGAAGTAGCACAGTGATACTTACTGCTTTTGCTCACTTTTTGTGGACCAGAGCATTTCCTATGTCACGTGGGTCTATCTAACTTCAAGGCTTGTCTAACTTGCACAGAAGTACAATCTCCTGTGTGCCTGGTAGGAGAGGTTAACCAAAATCTGTGAGCAGGATAAATAATTGGTGTAGAGTCTGAATTTTTAGGGAACTGTTGAAGTGAATTGGGATTTTTTATAATGGTCTTCCACTTTGTCTCATCAGAGTTTATCTTGAGAGCGCAGTTTATTTACCTGTAATAATACACAGGCGACACATCTTGGGTTGTATGTGTACACAGTACTCTGATTATTTCTGAATTTTCCACATCTCTGATTTTTCTCTTCCTTCCCACTAGGGTTCACACCTCCAGGAATGGACAGATCCTCTCCAGATAATAGCCCAGTACATGGGATGTTACGCCAGCCATCCATCACAACTGGGGTCAACATCCCCATCATCACTGAACTAGGTAGGCCTTGGGGAGAATTTTTACCCTGTCTTCCAGATCAAGCAGCATATATGGAAGCTGGCCTGTTTCCTAGCCCTTTCAGCATAGAAGTCTACAGTGGGGTTTATTTTGGGAGAGGAGACAGAAGGGTACAGGTAGAAACATGACAGATTACCAAAGGGAAAACTGATCTATCTTTCCTCTGAAATGAATAGACAGTTTCCTTCATGCTGGTCACTGTTTCCAATGGAGCATAGTATAATGGATTTAAGATGGGGCATGAGTTGGGGAAGGAGTAAGAGGGGAGGAAAGGCCTAGTCTATAAATACTTTCTGGTGATTTTCACTGGAAGCACCTCTTTTCAGAATTCTTTCTGGACAGGTCTTAAGATTGGAGTCCTCCACTGATGCACATAGCCTTAGATATAAGCCAAACCTATTTCAAGAACTGGGCAGAAGGATTGGGTTAATGTGTAATAACTATAACGTGCAATAACTCTACATATAATCTGTCTGTGTTAGTTGAACTGCTTTGCAGCCAGAGCTCATTTGTAGTGAATGTCACTCTATTCCGAAAACTGATGGGATCTTGAGGGCTGTAATTGTTGGTCAATGGAATGCTGCTTTTAACATGGCCATGACATTCCCCCGCTACCACTTGTAAATTTGCAAATCTACATAGTGGCCTTTTTCTCCCAAGATAAATGGTCCCAGGTCCCTTTACTTTAGAATGTTTCATCTGTTACTCCCTCACTCTCTTTCTTTTTCTGTACTTTCCTCCACTCCCTTTCCCCAAACCTTAAATGCTGTATCCAATTAGCTAAACCGGGCAAGTTGCCTTTGGTATCAGTCAATCAGGAAAAAAACAGTGGGACGCACATTCTAATGATAACTGAACTGGGTAAGAAGCACTGTTTTCCTTCACATCAGAATCTGCTTTAGTTCTGTTGTTGGTGTTTCCAACTATCATCAGCTTGTTTTTTATTTCACCGGCTGCAACAGAAAGGCTACCCTCACGGCACTGCTTTGAATGTGTTTTATTTGTGGCTCTGGTTGGAATCGACTGTCTTGTTCTGGCCTTTCTTAATGATTTCTTCCCTACACAGCATCAGTAAACCTTTGATCACACCCATCTGACCTGGCAGTTCTTTCCCAAGCATCTTTGCTCTAATTCATTTTCTTTGGGCCTTTTCTTTTTTTTTTTTTTTTTTCCCTTTTCCACGTGTCCCCCTGCTCTCCCGCCTTCTCCCCTTCTAGTCCTCTTGGACCACACTGTCAGTTTGACTGACACATCTTCACAGCTCTCAGAGGAAGTCAAAGGAGAAATATAAAAATTTTAAGATAAGAAACCTAAGACCATGCCTTCCCTCCAGCTGTTTATTTTCCTTTATTCTGACTTTATTTGTCTATTTTTTTTCCCCCTACTAGGCCCTTTCTCAGAAGCTCTGGTTCTAAAGCCATAAAAGCAGCCAGCTCCTAGGGGGTCTTTTCTTACTAAAGCCAGGCTTCAGGATGGGTTGGAAGAATGAGGTTAGCAGCTGCTAAGGCCCAGCTCTGCACCCTGACTCTCACACTCGGGGCCCCAAGCCCCCTCTGGGAGATTGCCAGTGGACTCATCAGGAAGATAAAGTCCTCTAGTGATTACTGCATTTGTCAAAGCCTTTCCCAGTTCCCTATGACTTGGTTAATGACTCCACGAAAGGCACCCATCAGCAGTGGGTCTCAGGACTGGGGATTGATCTTCTAAATAGAGACAGCAAAAGTGCTGCTCAGTGGAGGGGTGGATAGAGAGGTGGGGAGCACCTGCCTTCAAATGACTCACAAATGAAACGAACACTCCATTTTCTTGGCCCAAAAATATATTTCAAAATAAGAGAGCAGGCTTTTAACACAGTAATCTTGCTGTGCGACGTCTAGAAACTAAGGAATAAATTGTCCACCATTCAGCACTGCATTATTGTCAGCATAGCTATTTATCAGGGCAAAATCCACTCAGGTCAGGGAGTATCACACTATTTTCTGTTTCCAACAGTAGAAGAGGTGTCTTTTTCATGTTTAGAGAAGTTGGCTAAAAGCCTAGGTTTCTGGGATGCTCTTTTCAGGACCCTAGGGCCATAAGAGAACCAGGAAGCTCATGTGGTCCAGACCTCTGATTGGAAATTCATCCAAACTTCTCCGAAGAAACCTGCAGTAGCATTTCAAATGCATCCCTGCCAGGAATTTCTTTTTCTATCTCTTTGGAAGCTCTGTGTTGCCAGCTGACTAAGATATTTTGATTTGTGATGAGTGGAAGAACTTTTTAAAAGCCTACTGTACCCCAAATCTGAGGCAACAATTCAAGTATCCAGTTAATCTTGAATCTCCTAAATAATTGCATTCAGGATATCTAGTGTAATTCAATCTCCTGGTGCCTTTATTCCTTACTAGATTGCTTCTGTGTTCAGGAAACCTTCCATATGTGTTCATACCACCTTTTGTTTCTGCCCTCAGCCCTGTTTTTCTAGTTGTCATACCACTCTTGGCAACCACTGATGTTCTCTGTGTTTTATTGAGTATGCAAAGGCATCTGACTATGTGGACCATAACAAATTATAGATAACATTGTGAAAAATTGGAATCCAAGAACATGTAATTGTGCTCTTGTAGAACCTATATGTGGGAGCTCTGGTGGCGTAGTGCCTAAGGCACTTGACTGCTAACCAGAAGGCTGGCGGTTCAAACACACCAGCCACTCATTGGAAGGAAGATGGGGCAACTTCCTCGGAAACCCAAGGAGGGGTTGCTATGAGTCGGGTCGGATTCTATGGCACATAACAACAACAACAACAGAAGCTATATGTAGACCAAGAGGCAGCTGTTCAAACAGAGCAAGGGGACACTGCATAGTTTAAAATTAGGAAAGGTGTGCATCACAGTTGTATCCTTTCGCCATACTTAATTCAATCTGTATGCTGAACAAACAATCCAGGAAGCTGGACTGTATGAAGAAGATTGCAGCATCAGGATTGAAGGAAGAGTCATAAACAACCTGAAATATGCAGATGACACAATCTTACTTGCTGAAAGTGAAAAGGCCTTGGAGCACTTACTCTTGAAAATAAAGACTACACATCCTTCTGTATGGATTATACCTCTATCTAAAGAAAACAAAAAATCTTCACAACTAGACCAATAAGTAATATCATGATAAATGAAGAAAAGACTGAAGTTGTCAGAAATTTTGTTTTACTTGGATCCATAATCAACAGCCATGGTAGTAGCAGTCAGGAAATCAAATGATGTATTGGATTGGGCAAATCTGCCACAAAGACTCCTTTAAAATGTTAAAAGACAAAGATGTCACTTTGTGAAGTAAGGTGCACCTGACCTAAGCCATCTCAAACATATGCAAAGGTTTGACAATGAGTAATGAGAATTGAAGAAGAATTGGTACATTTGAATTATGTTGTTGCCAAAGAATGTTGAATATACTATGGACTACCGGAAGAATAGCAAATCTGTTTTGGAAGAAGTATAGGCAGAATGCTTATTATAAAAGTGAGGATGGCAAGACTTTGTCTCTTGTACTTTGGTCATGTTGTCAGAAGGGACCAGTCCCTGGGAAAATGACATCATGCTTGGTAAAATAGAGGTTCAGCAAAAAAGGAGAGGCCCCTCAATGAGAAGACTTGACACATTGGATGCAACAATGGGCTCAAGCATTGCAATAATTCTGAGGAGTATTTCATTCCATTTTACTTAAGGTTATTTTGAGTTGGAACTGACTCGCCAACACCTAAGAACCACCACAATAATGTTCTCTGACCACTTCACCTCTCTTCATATTCCACAAATATTAATCAACATGCTCTGAGATGTGTTCCAGATTATACCAGGTCAGACAAATACTTTTAAAAAAATCACAGAAGGTACCAAGGTTAAAGAAGTTTTGTAAACTGTGTAGTATGTTCTGATTTTCATCTACTTGGAGATGCTCAATTAATGTTAGCATATTAAAGGCTCATGGAAGTTCCACAAGACAAATTTTTTTCAAGTTGCTTAACCCTCCTGTTTCCCAATTATTTTGGGATGATTTCTTTTTCAATAGATTTTATTTTTCAGAGCAGTTTGAGATTTACAGATAAATTGTTCACAAAGTGTAGGGTTTCCATATACAGTCTCTTCCCCTGCATATTGTTTCTCCTATTATTAACATCTTGCATTCATGTATCACCTCCTTTTCATCTTCTCTTAGCATCCCGCTTAATGACTATTCTGTGAAATGGATTTTGGGAAACACTGGCTGCTAGATCCCTGAGACTGAGTGCCATAGAACAATACACAGGATTTTCACTGGGCCCTGGCCAGTGCCTTGGAGTTCTTTTCCAGTGACCCAAATCCCTAGCTCACTGAAAACCTAGAGTCAGCACTCTACTTGGAGCCACTTCCCCTCCAAATCTAGTTACAAGTCTAATACCAAGTCTAGTTAATAGACAGTGCTCTTGAAGGAATGCTGAGAATACATCATCAGTTGCTATTACAAATAATTAAAAAAATAAAATAAAATAACCCTCTGTATACTGTCCCAAATTTCCATTTTCTGACTCACAAGGCAAAAGACTAAACTCAATATGCCTTTGTGTAAATGGAGGGAGGTGAGGAAAAGGTATTACTTGATCCTGATAGAATCCCTGAGCAAGATCTTAAGTGCTTCTTGAGAGAGGCCAAAGGGAAGCTGAAGATTTTCACAATGTAGTGGGGTAGATAGAATATTTAATGTCAGAGGGCAATGATGATAGCAGCTAACATTTAGCAAGTGCATAAAACGATCCAGATGCTGGGCCCAGGTCACCAGACACTATCTCATATAAGCTTCCTAATAACCTCATGAGAACATTGCTGTTATTCCTGCCCATTTTCCAGATAGAGAAACTAAGATGTAGAATGATTAAATGCTTTGCCCAAGGGAGTTGGTGACAGAGTCTGGATTCAAAGCCCACTTGTCAGATTCTAAACTTCATACTCTCACCCACTTACCAATTACCCTTGAATCCACATGACTCATGGCAACAGGGCTCCACAGGACTTTCAGTGGCTTATTTTTCAGAAGTAGATTACCAGACCTTTCTTCCAAGGTACCTCTAGTTGAACTTGACCCACAACCTTTACATTAGCAGCTGAGTTCATTAAACATTTGCACCATTCATATGTACCATCCAATGTCCTTTAATTCACATGCTGCAGAGACAGTAGGAACCTGGATATTATTAACATTGGAAGCTCTGAGCAAAGATTTTCCCCATTAGAATATTCCTCTTGGTAAACAAGATGGCATCATTTAAAAGTAATTCTACGCCTAGACTTTGATCTTATTATCATTTATTCTGCCTCATACAGTAAAGAAATGTTTTTGTTTTTAAGTTACCCAAAAAGTAACTTTCAGAAAAAAATATTAAAGCAAACTCTAGGGAAGAGAATTAGCTGCTGGTACATTTAGAATCAGGGAAAGGACACCTCATCTGTTCTTTTCCTCAAAGCACAGTAATTATCTCAGAACTCACGAGTGCTCATTTCTTCCCCCCTCCATATACACCCCCTTCTACTACTTGCTCTGCAAATGATAATTTCTGAAACCAAGATGGGGATGGAAATTAATTTGTCATTTAATTTTTAATAAGTTAAAGACATCTCAGTAACACAACCAATCAGTCTGTGTGTGTGCATGTGTGCTAGAGGAGTCCTTGAGGAATCCTCCCATGGAAATGAAATGCAGCATCAAATACTGCAACTGCTTGAGGAGAATCCCATAAATGATTGAGCCATTTAGAAGGGGAAAGGAAAAGCTTGGGCATCCCTATGCAACTTGAGGAAGAGAGTCTTTGTGAGCAAGCAGCCAGTCAGTGAGCCATACCACCTGGGGTTTCCTTTGTATTAAGCAGAGCCTGTTAGACCCCAGGTCTGTCCCCAGAGCAGTCTATGGGTCATGCCTGAAGGTGAATTCCTTGCTTTTTGCCTTTGTGTGTGGTCCCAATCCATTGCTCTTGACTCTGGATAAGTTGCTTTCTTTGTGGCTAACCTTCCTGTCCCAGCATGGCTACGCATCATTGAAATATGTTTATCTCTCAAAGGACTTGGCTACCAAAAAACGCTCCAGGGTGTTTTTCGGTCATGATTCCAAAACTGTACCAGAGGACTGACCACAGTGCCATCTGTTGGCGCTTTGCAGTGTGCCATGGACTGAGCTTGATTGAACTCATTGCTCTCCAGGCCCTAGAAGCTGAATTAAAGAATCACATAGGAGCCGTCCATTGAGTTCACTGACCTAACCCCAAGACCCATCTATAGCTTCTCCCATGTTTTTTATTTTCTTTTCCAGTGACCCCAGTGTTTCTAAACCAGTAGCCTGGTCTCTCTTTGGTTTTGCTGCCTGAGTGTGATCTTTGGAGCTAATTCTTATTTTATCCTTTTTCTAGTGAATGACACTAATGTTCAGTTTTTGGACCAAGATGATGATGATGACCCCGACACAGAACTGTACCTCACGCAGCCATTTGCATGTGGAACAGCATTTGCCGTCAGCGTCCTGGACTCCCTCATGAGTGCGGTGAGTCATCCCACTCCTTTCCTAACTACTCAGTGTTTCAGGAATGATTGCATGGAATACCTCCAAGGATAGAGGCACTATACCCTTGATTGAGCTACAAACAAACAAAAAAAACCAGTTGCCGTTGAGGAAATGTCAACTCATGGTGGCCCCATGTGTGTCGGAGTACAATTTTGCTCCCTATGGTTTTCTTTTTTTCTTATTTTTAAAACAAGTTATTAAATTTAATTGGCTTTTCTTTATTGTGGTGAAAATATACACAACAAAACATTTACCAGGTCAACATTTTTTGCGTGTATAACACAGTGACATTGATTACATTCTTCATGTTATACCACCATTATTGCTATTCTTTTCCAATTATTTTACCACATTAACATAAAATCACTGCCCCTTAAGCAGAAACTCCTCTTGCCCTTTCCTTTCATACCTGGTAACTCCCAGTAATCTTTGGTTTCTCTATATTTGCTTATGTCATGTAGGTGATATCATATAATGTTTGTCCTTTTGTGACTGATTTATTTCACTCAGCGTAATATTTTCCATGTTCATCCATGTTGTGCCATATATCAAAACTTCATTTCTCTTTATGAATAAGTTATAATTCACTGTATGAATGTACTACATTTTTGTTTATCCATTCAACTGTTGATAGCCGTTTTGATTGCTTCCACCTTTTGGCTACGGTAAAAAGTGCCACAGTGAGCATAGGTGTTGAGATTGCTGCATTTCTGCTTTCATTTCTTCTAGGTACATACCTAAATTGCTATGGCTGGGCTGTATGGTAGTTCTATGTACAACTTTTTGAGGAAACACCAGACTTTTTCAGGCTGCCTGCACCATTTTACATTCCCACCAATAATAGATGAGGGTTCCAGTTTCTCCATATTTTGACCAACATCTATTGTTTTCTGTTATGTTTGTTTTTTAATTGTCATTCGAATAGGTTTTTTTTTTTTTTAGAATAGGAGGAAGGTGGTATCTCATTATGGTTTTAATTTGCTTCTGCCTAATGACTAATGAAGGAGCTCTGGTAGCATAGTGCCTAAGGCACTTGACTGCTAACCAAAAGGCTGGCAGTTCAAACCCACCAACCACTCCTCAGAAGGAAGGGTGGGCAATCTACTTCCATAGTGATACTGCCTCAGCAACTGAAGGAGGGGTCGCTATGTATTGGGGCCAACTCAATGGCACATAACAACAATAACAACAGTGGCTGACATTGAGCATCTTTTTTATGTGCTTGCTAGCTAGTTGAATAGCCTCTTTGGTGAAATGTCTGGTCAAGCCCTCTGCTCATTTTTCTTTTTTTAATTGGATTGTCTTTTCTGTTGTTAAGTTGTAGACGTTTTATCAGATATATGGAAAATTTTCTCCTACTTTATAGTTGCCTTTTCCCTTTGTTGATACATTCTTTGGTGAAAAAAAGTATTTAATTTTTATGACGTCCCATTTATTTATTTTGTCTGTTTTTGCTCAAACTTTTGTTGTTATATCTGATCATCCATTATTGAAAACTGGATCCCACAACCATACATACCCCTTATATTTTCTTCTTGGAATTTTATAAGTCTTAGTTTTCATATTTAGGTCCTTGATTCATTTTGAATTGCTTTTTGAGTATGATAATGATATGAGGTGTAAATCTTAATTATTTTTTCTGTGTGTAGAGATCCAATCTTCCTGGCAGCATGTGTTGAAAAGACTTTTCCTTCTCTATTAAATGGACTTGATGCCCTTGTCAAAAAATCAGTTGACTCTAGATGTACGGACTTATTTCTGGGCTCTTAAGTCTATTCTGTCAGTCTATATGTCAGTTGTTATATCTGTACCCCCCCCCAAAAAAAAAAAAATGCCATCAAGACAATTCTAACTCATAGCAGCCCTATGGACAGAATAGAACAACCCCATAGGGTTTCCAAGGCTTCAGATCTTTACACAAGCACACTGCCACTTTCTCCTGAAGAGCAGCTGGTAGCTCTCAGTTAGCAGCTGTGGTAGTTAAGGTTATGTGTCAACTTGGCTGGGCCTGGTTTTGAGTGGCTGGGCAGCTATATGTAGTTATTCCCCCGTGATGAGACTGATAATCAACTCCATGGTGGAATCTACTGTGAGCAGCTGCCTTGGGGATGTAATGTGCTTCTGGTATATAGGATGATGCTTTGAGAAAGACCTTGAGATTCTTGGCACATTTCGATCCTGGCTGAGTCATCAGTGAGTGCCTTGCCATGTTGTCTGCTAATCTTGGGACCATCTCTGGACTTGAAGTAGTGGCCTGCCCTGTTGCTTGGTAATCTTGGAACTGTGTCATTTTACTTGTGGACCTTGGGTTTGTCAGCCTCAGCAGCCAGCAGCTGCCTGAGTTAAGAGAAGCCTCCAGCTCCAGTGGGCCAGGAGCAAGAGGCAGAGCTGAAGCCCAAGGTTGAGGGGCCTTCACCCAGCCCCTAGAACTGGCACTTTGAACTTAGACTTCTAGCCTCCTAAACTGTAGGAGGATAAATCACCATGTGTTAAACTCATCCACTTGGAGTATTTTCTGTTAGAGCAGCAGAGGAGAACCAAAACAGGAGCTGAGCTCTTAACCACTGCACCACCAAACCGTGTCAATTATTGTGGCTTCATAGTATGTTTTGAAATCAGGAAGTATGAACCCTCCTACTTTATTTTCTCCAAAGTTGCTTTAGCTATTTGGAGTCCTTTGCCCTTCCATATAAATTCGAGGCTTGGATTTTCCATTTCTGTAGAGAAGGCTGTTGGAATTTTGATGGAAATTACATTGAATTTATAGATTGTGTAGTGTTGATATCATAACTATATTATGCCTTGTAATCTGTAGACACAAAGCCCTTCCATATATTTAGGTCTTCTTTATTTTCTTTTATAGTTCTTTTTTTCATAGTTTTCTGTGTACATGTCTTTTACCTTCTTGGTTAAATTTATTCCTAGGCACTTTATTCTTTTAGATGTAATTTTAAATGGTAATATTTCCATAATTTTCTTTTGTAATGTTTCCATAATTTTCTTTTCCTCTTGCTCATTGTTACTGTATTTAGATACCTGAGTGATTTTTGAATGGTGACCTAGTACCCTGCCACTTTGCTGAATTTATTCTAATTGATTTCTTGTGGGTTTTTTTGTGGTTTTCTATGTGCAAGATCATGTCATCCACAGAGTGGAATTGTTTTATTTATAGGGTTTTCAATGGCTGGTTTTTTGGAAGAATTTACTTGTCAGGCCTTTCTTTTGAGGCACCTCTGGATGAACTCAAACCTGCAACCTTTTATTTGACAGCTGAGCAATTTAACTGTTTGTAGCACTGTAGGAATACACTATAGCAAAGAGCAAAACAACCCAGCCCCTATTGTCATGAAGCTTGTAGTCAAGAAGGAACACAGAAATTAATCAAATTATCACACAAACATTTGAGTATATATTTTTAGAAGTACAAGGAGGGCCATGAGAGCTTAAGTGAATACAGAAATTAATCAAATTATCACACAAACATTTGATTATATATTTTTAGAAGTACAAGGAGGGCCATGAGAGCTTAAGTGAGTACCTGGTCTTGGGGTTCAGAGAAATGTTCCCCGAGGAAATAATGTGTGTACTAATGTGTACTAATATCTGAGTGATAGATGAGGATGATTTTGTTGGTAAGAGTATTCCTTAAAGAATGACAAACCTGTTGCTACTGAATCAATTCTGTGTGTTAGAGTAGACCCATGCTCAGTGGGGTTTTCTTGGCTGTTATCTTTATGGAAGCAGGTTACCAGGCCTTTCTTCTGTGATTCTGCTAGTGGTTTCCAATCTCTAATAGCATAGTGCCTAAGGCACTTGACTGCTAACCAGAAGGCTGGTGGTTCAAACCCACCAGCCACTCCTCAGAAGGAAGGTTGGGCAATCTACTTCCATAGTGATACTGCTTCGGAAGCCCAAGAAGAGGTTTCTATCCATCGTGACAGCACATAACAACAACAACCTTTAGGTTAGCAGCTGAACACAAACTGCTTGCACTGCCCAGGGCCCCTTTCAAAGAAGTATAGCAGATGGAAAAAAGCCTTGCGGTAGGAGGAAACCCAACACTTTCAAGGAAGGAAAGAAAGCCAGCATAGCTGGACCACAAAGAGAAAGGGAATAAGAGGCACTAGTTAAGGTGGAATTCTCAGGACATTGGAAACTTTTCATGGCTTTAGCCTTTATCTTAAGAGCAGTGAGGCGGCATTGAGAAATTTAAGTTAGAGTGATATGACCAGGTATATGTTCTAGAACTATTGCCTTGGCTGATGTGTAGAGATGGATAGAGAGGCAAGCTGACAGCAGGAAATCTGATTAAGAAGGCATATGGTTTGGACTAGGATAGAGCTGGTAGAGGTAGAAAGAGGTAGAAGATCTTTGTAGATAAAATGGATAGGACTTAGTAAGAGATTGAGTATGTGCTTAAGGTGAAGAGGACAAACTATCGAGGGTGGTTCTGCAGTTTCTGTTGCTGGAAATGAGCCAGTCACTGAGAACCACAACCTTGGGCGAAGAGGAGGTGGGAGGGCAGCATTGGCTGGTTCTCTGGTGCAGCAAGTACCAGGTGGTAGCAAAGAGAGGAGGATGGAGCTAGGCAAAGGATGAACAGCACCTTTGGTTTGTTTTGTAACTTTATATGCATCAATTATTCGAGACATTTGCTTTCTCCCTTGAAATCCAAAACTAATAAAAATTAAAAATATGTGTATAGTAATTGCCAGCTTACTGGAACTATCTCTAACTGCAAAAAGGAGACATTAGAATTGGTCATAACCTGGGTGTTGTGAAGTGTTTCCCCCTGAGTATCTTTATTTATTATATAGAAGAGTCTCTTTATTTTGGAGTCCTCAAATTAACAATTTGTGAAAATGCAGACATAGGCTGGATAAAAACTGACCTATGGAGAATCCATGAAAAAGAGTTTTATTGAGCATATTAAAACCATAAACATAGCTCAGAGAGTTTTTATACACATACATTTCTTA